CCTCCTGTGTCTGTTTGCAGGGGTGAGGGAGGGTGGGCCGGTGCCAGGCTGCTGCTCCGGGAGGGGGCGGGGGCCCCGGCGCGTCCCCGGGTCGCGCGCCCCTCCCGCCGGCTCCTCACGCACTAGCGCGCACTCGCCCAGAAAATTGGAGCCCTGAAGACTCCAAGCCACCAAGCCACCCCGCTGCCAAGTTTGGTGCGTTATTAGATTGCATGTTAGAGCTTGCAAAGAAAAGGAGATGCGGGCGGGGGTGGGGAAGAAAATAAAAAAAGAATCTGTCCCCTTCAGGTATTTATTTTTCTTCTGTGTTGAGAAGTAACGGAGAATGTCCTTCCCAAAATTTCTAGGGACCATGCCTGTCAGATGAGCAGAGGGGTTGGCAGCTCCTTGGGTTTTAAAACGAGGTTATTAGGAAATCCCCGCTCTAGTGAGAGATAATTGAAATGTGAGTTTGTTTGCAGCTTCAGTTTTATTTGATCCAATTAAAAATGCATAAGCAAGCACTTTATATTTGTGTACATAGAGTATTCCTAGTTTCAGTTATGACTAATATGAGTGTGGTTTCACGAATGTGGGATCTAATAAGGCAGTATAATTCAATTTTGAGCTCGTAGGCCCGTGTTCTCCAAATTAGGCTTTATAGACCATTAGTAATCTGGCCAAGGTTTCTAGTGAATCCCTGGCATCTCTGAGCATCTTTCTCTAGGGCTGTGTGTGCCTTATTCTCCACCTCTTAAAAAACTGTTCATTTCTGCTGTAACAGATCCACGAACAGAGAAGATAGATATTTTAAATATTGACAGTTTTCAGAGTGTTTGAAATATTTTGTCTAGGATTTGATTATTTCCCAAATGGTATATAAGGATATCATGCCAGTAGGCCCCCATATTGGCATACTTCATGGGCATCTGCTTATGGTGCTTTTGGAAAAGCCTGGACAGACACCACCACTCTGTTCCCAGAGCTGTGAATGCTCAACTTTCTGTGCTGGGGTGAGTGGGTCTGTCCCATTGGCTGTGCGGGGCACAGTAGTTTAGTTGGAAGCCAAGTTGGACGATCAGGTTGGCAACCTCCAAGAGAGTTTTTGTGAACTTTGTGGTTCTCTGGCAACAGAAAGATTTCAGATCTGTGTATGATAAACTGATTAGGCATGAGTTGTCATGTAGCATGGTTTATGCCAACCAGAGCAGGTGGTTTCACAAAGGGCTGGGAAAATGTGGAGTGGTATGGCTTAATTTGGAGTTTCTTCATAGATGGGTTATTAGTCTTTCTCTATTGAAACTTTTTTCTTTATGAGTGGGTTACTAAAAGCTAACCTGAGGCCTAGGAAGATACCTCATGTGGTAAAGTGCTTGCCATGCTAACATTAGGACCTAAGTTTGATTCTCCAGCATTTACATGAAAAAGTCAGGCATGGTGGCTGGCTCTGTAATCTCTGGGGCTTGCTGGCCAGCCTATCTGAACTGGTAAGCTCCAGGGTAGACTTTGTCTTGAAAAATAAGGTGGTGAGATTGAGGAAGAAACATTGACCATTGGTCTCCAAGTACACAGGCACACATCCATCCATCCATCCATCCATCCATCCATCCATCCATCCAGTCACACACACACACACACACACACACACACACACACATACACACACCACACACACACAGAAAACTACTGACTTGTATATATCCCTCCCCTCACTCAGCTGCTTTGGAATCTCCACTTACAACTTTGAGGTGCTATTCCTGGTGTATGTAGTCTATCTTGGTGTAATGAAGTGAAATTTGTGTTTCCCTGGAGTTATATATATTTCTTTTTCCAGTTAGCTTTGTTATAACACTGCAAACTGGATACCATTTTACCCCAATTTTCAAATATCTTTATAATTATTTTTTATAGTAGCATAGTAGGAGGTCCTCCTTAGTATATGAATTCAGGCTAAAGGTTGAAAAACCAGTTAGAAGTGGTGTGAGAGAACCAGTTAGGCCTTCCATTTCGGGAAGATCCACTTGAGGTTTTTGTTTTTTGGGTTTTAAAAAAAAATTATTGGTATACTTTCCTTATAACTGTCTCAAATAAATAGCAAAGAAAATATGTAGCAGGATTATATCTCTTTAGGAACTACGTCCAATTTAAGATTTTGCCAGCTGAACATTGCAGAAGATTTATCAGAAACAATATGCCCCAAGGCCATTGTATCATGATTTCTTTAGTTTATTTAAATTTCAAAAACATTTTTGGTTTTCTTGGAAGCATGGCTTAATCCCAAGCCTAGCTTGTGGTTATGCTCTCTGTGTTAAACCATTCGTAAACCTCAGACATCCGTCTGTCATTGCCTGTGCTCGCCAACTTTGATGGGAAGTCTGTTGGTAAGGACCAGCGGGTCTCACCTGTGCCCTTAGAAAGCTTCCTGCAAAAGCACCTTTGGAACAGGACAGTGGCAGTATTCACATCCCCTGAAGAAATTGCTTTCTTTATTCCATTTTCCCCAGTGGTTGAATTGTTTGCTGCAAAGCCTTGGATAGTTTTGTTCTTAATAAATATTTAGTGAGTTTCTTTCTTTTTTGTTTTTTTCTACCTCTATCCCTCATAAAAGCTGTGATTTAGTTCAAGGAAAAGACTACAGTGGTTTTCATGGGGTTGCCTGCATTCTTTAGTACCAGATTATAATACTGCAAACTCTGAAATCCGTGAAGTAATAGCTAGGGCTAGGGTGTCTGCTCTTTAAGGATCATTTATTTGCAGTGGGATGTGCCATACTTGTGAGACAGGCAACAGAGAACCAGCGCTGATGGAATACTTCATGTGCTTCTAGCACTCGGCTAGGTGCTGAGGCTGTAGGGATATTAGGTACCCTTGCTCATTAGCCACTTCATGAAGCTGGGCTGCAGCTTCATGTTCAAGGCCATTACACTAGAAAGGGATAGAGGAAGATTTTGGGCCCAGATCCTTTAGCTCCAAAGCAACTCCAAAGATTGCTTTAGAAACTTGAGTTGTACCATCTTGTTTTAGTCTTGTGGTGCTAGGTCACTGAACATACTTTTCCTAAGTATGCATCCAGTTTTACTTTTCTGTTTCAAGAATTGATTCCTGAAGTTGGGGGAATACAGTGAAGGCCCAGTCACCCTCTTTTCTTGTAATACATTTAGGAGTTTAGGAATAGTCTGGTACGCAGTAATCGTGACGTGCAGAGGGAGAATGTAGTCACTTTTCTGTGCCAGAATGTTCTTTTCTTTGGTTTGTGTTGTGGAGGCGTTGATCCCCTCATGAGAAATTCTGCTACTTCCATAAAAGTCCTGAAGGTAGTAAAATAGAGTTATTTTAAAATATCCATTGCTGTTCCCATCCTGAACTAAATTGTTTGGATAAAATCTAGAGAAAAATGTTTTGTCTGTAGTACCTATGTTGGTGAGTTTCTATAGCTTGTGGTAGAGTCTGTGTGTCCTCAGAATTCTTTATGTCCTTTGCCGTTGTTATTCTGTCCTGGGAACTTTAGCATATGTGACCTGATTTAAGCTCCTTTTGGAAGTTTTTAAAACTGAACTTTTTTCCTCTCTGTAATCATGAATGTCTTAAAAAAAATTTTTAGATTCCTTTTTTTGTGTGTGACTGTGTACCATGTGAGTACCTGGGAGGTACAGGTAGTTTCTAACTACCTGTGAGTCCTTTGGGGATCAAATCCAGGTCCTTTAAGATTAACAAGTACTCTTAACCGCCAACCGCTGAGTGATCTCTCAAGCTCCTGACTTAAAGTGTTTTAACGAGGAAAAAGCCCTATCTTTCAACAGACTTACATGGTGGTGTTATCCATTACTTTAGAACTTAAGACAATATTTGAAAATTTTAGGAACATTAGGCAGTAGATTAGAATTGTTAAAGGGAGCATTTCCAAACATAAGTGGAAAGTGATGAATATGTACTTGAAGGTTTTTTTGTTGTTGATTTTTGAGATAGGGTTTTTCTGTGTAGCTTTGGAGCCTGTCCTGGAACTCGATCTATAGACCAGGCTGGCCTCAAACTCAACAGAGGTTGGCCTGCCTCTGCCTCCTGAATGCTGGGATTAAAGACGTGTGCTACCACCACCTAGCATACTTTTTTTCCTTCAGATTTTTTTTATTTGAATTAGAAACAAGATTGTTTTATATGACAATCCCAGTTCCCTCTCCCTCCCATCCTCCCCTGCCACCCCCCCCCCACTAAAACCCTACCTATCACATATCCTTTCTGCATAATCAGAGGGGATATTCCTTTTCTTGTGTGTTCTTTAAGGTTTTTTTTGTTTTTGTTTTGTTTTAATAAGGAGAATCC